AAGTGTTAAAAGCTAATTATTGAAATAACCATTAACTAAGCGCCCGGGACATTTATTGTTCAGAGTATAGTTTTAAGTTAATTAATTCTGGTCTCGAATGCAAGGATCTCTCATTTGCGACCTCTTGTTGGGCGTTAACTCTTTGGCTCCTGACAGTGATAAGCGTCTGAATCAAATATTAAGGTCATAAATAAAGAAAATGATCAGTCACGAACTCAAGAAGCTCTTGATTGTTCGACAAACTCTCCCCGTAAGTACTTAAAGAAATGTCTCGAGGGCAGTATGGGGAATATGCATCCTGATTTTAGGGTGTAAAGGGTTGATACGCAGTAGACGTCACAATAATCAGAAGTTCTCCATTACACCAAACGCGTATTCAATATCTCTCAACAATTATTATCCCCAAAAATCATGCACCGCAATTCCCTCCAGTTCCTTGTAAAATGAATTGTTTATTTCAGGCATATCATCGACTATTTATGTAATTTCAAATACCCTTGATGTTGATCAAAGCCGCAGTTTTAAAGCCACTTAGTATGCTAGCAAATTCAAGCAGTCTAGTGGGAGCACGAAATTTGCATGTTAGTAGGAGTTATTGATATTTCGCAAGAAAAAAACTTTTGTAAGAGGGAAAGGAGTTGAAATGGTAAACTGGCGAACTGGTGAATTTGTTATGTTTGATGGGGCGACCTGGCAAGGAAGGGGGGCGAATTTTTTATATCACTATCTCGGTCATCGGCAAAGTAGAACTTTGAATTCTAAGAGAGACAAAGTTGGAAACATCAAGAAAAAAAGTTTTTTCAAGTTGTAGCATTATGTTTCTTGAACATCACTTTTAGAAGGATTTTGACGATGACTAGATGAATTACGACGAAAATAAATATATATCAAAACGTAGTTGACAAACATGTTTTATTAAAACGTCCACCATCCTAGGTAGAAAAGAACAGCATCTTGTTTATGCTCAAATAACTACATAATTTACATTACTAACCCTAAAAGGTAGTCTTCACACAAACACGTTTGTCCAAAGCTGTTAACTTGAAAGAAATTTGCAGTATTTCAATGACGAGTGATGATGTACAGACTTGTGATAATGTTTTATTACTCACAACATTTTACTCTAACTGCTTTGTA